TACCACACTACTTTTTCTGAAAGATAAAATATAGAGAGACATATACACACATAAATATACACATATACATATTTCTATACATAGGCACACATATACATATACATACATATACACACACTATATGTATAGTCTCTCATATCTGCAACTCGCTCCCTTCTGTACTTTCAAATCCCTGGTTTTCTTCAAACTCAGCTAAATCATATCCCTCTGCTCCGATGGTTCCCTGATCTCCCGCTACCATTACTGGTGTCCTCTACCCCATGAAATAACCTTGCCTTTAATTCATGGATACCTAAGTATGTTATCTCTTCTGATGGAATGTAAGTTCTTTAAGGAAATTTGAAGATATTTCTTTTCTGTTTTTATATACTTGGAACCTAACAATGTCCGGCACACAGTAGGTACTTAATAAACACTGGTTGGTCAACTGATTAAGAGTGGGAAGAGAGATGCTGTAGATGGAGAAAAGATAGGACTGAAGACCTGATTAGATATGAGCTACCCAAAGATTTAGAATATGAGTGAATGGAAGAATGAAGGTAGGAAGAGGAAAGTCAGAAAGAGGGAAGATTTTCAGGGAAAACCTATAAGGCACTTCAAAGACAGAAACAAGCAAGATAGTTTGGGAATAACTGTGCTAAGTTTATTATGCAATTTTAAAATAAAGTTGCATGTAATAGAAATTTGCAACTTCATACACAATCCTTTGTGGTTTTTTATCTGTAGAAAGGATCATATTTGTTGATGTTTGTCAAGTTCAAAATAATTTTTAAAAATACTTTTTTGAAAACTCATGGAACTTCATTTTAGATAGGTTTAATTCAATGAATATTTAATAAATCCTTACTATGTGCAAGATTCCAAGAAAGCAATGATAAAATGAGAATCAGACTCTGCCTTCAAGGAGCTTACATTCTGATTTGGGCACATAACATGTATATAATAATAATAATAATAGCTTTATAGAGCTTAAGGGTTTGAAAAACCCTACTTGGATTTTCACTGCAACCCTATGAGTCAAGTCCTATTATTATTCTCATTCTATAGTTGGGGAAACTGAGACTCAGAGACATTAAGTGACTGGTCACACAGCTAGTATCTCTGGCAGGATTTGAACTCAGGCCTTCCTGACTCCAAGTCCGGTGCTCTACCCATTAAGCCACCTGGTAAGAAACAAGTGAAAACATGTACAGTTTGAGTTACTGGTAGAAACCTACTAAGACAGTCCCTTAGTTTCTCTCCTTAACATGGTAAAGTTGGATTAGATAGGATCTGATTCTTTCCAGCTCTTGATCTACGATTCTATGAATTGGAAGATATAGAGATTGGAGTTCAGAAGAGAGGTCAGGGCTAGAGACAACAGATTTAATAAATGGTTTGATCAATCAATGAAAACTTAAAAACTAAACTAAAAGCCCAGAATTTCCTAATAGTCTGTCCCTGCTTAGATTTTTAAATTCACACCATGTTTCCTATGGTTGGGTGTTCCTTGTAAGGATCCTAAAATTCTGAATTGACTGAATGAAATGATTACGCTTCCTCCAAGGACATTCAATAACAATTCTGATAGGTTGCTAATCTCACAGACCTATCCGTGTGTGTCACATGGCCCTAACTTCCTCCCTTCCCTCTCTTTCTTTAGGTTGTTTTGCCTTTATCCAGAAAGCAGTCCTTGTATTTTTCAAGGTTCAGCAAGGTCACTTCCCACTCACGGAAAAACAGAGAAAGTTTCCCAACACTGTTTGGGGTGTCCAGCCACTGGTTATAAGTCATTTCCCAGGGCCAGACATGGCATGCATTGTAAGGGGCAGATGTAAGCAAGGATTTCCTGCCTTATAAATAGACATTATCAATTGAAGGAGTGGATGTTGGAACTGCAAGTTTGGTAGGTAATTAGCAAAAGAACTTTAGGAAAGCAAGTTTCTGCGAACAATGGAGACAATGTGCTATTATAATCAGTGTTCTCCCCTCCAGCACTCACTATTTATGGTGCATCTATCAAGATGAAAATATTATTTGTTCTCCATTAAGGTATCATTGGAAAAAAAACAAGTTTTGCTGATAGAGGCAAAAATGGTGGTTGCCAGTTGGAGGAAAAACTAAGATATATGTTTGGTAACCACACTCACACAAAACAGGTCCCACAAAATTTTTTTTCTGAATTGAAAATAATAATGATGGTATTGATGAATCACATTTGTATGGTATTTTAAGGTTTACCAAGTACATTAACATTTAAATGTATACAAAATGTTTTCCTCATGGCAATCCTGTGAAGCAACTTCCCCCACAGACATGATCACCCCCATTTTAGAAGCAGAGAAACTAAGTATCAGAGAGATAGAACTATACCTGGGGCAAGGCAAATAGAACTTTGTACCAGGGTTTCAATATTTAGAGGCTACACAAAGCAATGATGCTCCTTCAGCAGGCAGAAGGAGATGAGCTAGGCGGCTAGTTAAGAAGAATTATTAGTTGAAATAGGAAGCTACTCAGTGGCATGAATTCTCCCCCAAAAGTCACATCCTAAATGAACTTCTCCATGACTTGGCATCACCCTGCTTCCTTCCCCAGTGTCCACATCCTTGATGGGCAGCACCTTCCTTAGATAAGAGGCAGAGGAGAGGGTATAGAGAGTTTCGGATGAGGAAGAGCTAATGCAAAGACAGAAGGGAAATGGAATGTCTTTGAGGAATAGTAAGTAGACCATTTGGTTTCCCCGGGGCGGGGGGAGAGCGGTTCTGTCTGCCATTACCCTTGTCAGAATGGTGCTCCAGAGTCTGACTCCCATTCCCACCCCAGCACTTTATGTCCTGAGGTCCAAGGTCTCTCCCTTGCTTTGGATCAACTAAATTTATGTTTAAAAAAAAAGATTTCATGACACTTTTCACCTCTGTAGTCCCCGGCATCACAACTACTACTTATGGCTCTACAGAGAGATTTGATGACTTTTCTACAGTCACAAAGCTAGTGTGTATTAGAATGAGTATTTGAACCCAAATTTCACATATCACTATGCCACTATCCCTCAGAGGAACGAATATGCATCTCTAAAATAAAGTAAAATATTTTTGTGATGCTTCATAAATTTGCTATGAGAAAAGGACTTTCCTTTGTAAGCTTAACAATACAATAAGAATGAGCTGTGGTTATTACTGTTGTTATGCATGACAAAATTAGTCCTGGAGAGTGAGTACGTTATTAGTGTTTATTCATTTCAGTCTCGTCTAAGCCTTCATGACTCCATTTGGGGTTTTCTTGGCAAAGATATGAGAGTGGTTTAGCATTTCCTTCTCCAGATTGTTTTTTTTTTTACAGATGAGGAAACTGAGGCAAACAGGGCCAAGTGACTTGTCTAAGGTCACACAGCTAGTAAGTGTGTCTAAGTCCAGATTTGAACTCAGGGAGATGAGTCTTCTTGACTCCAGGCCAGGAATTCTATGAACTGCACCACCTAGCTGCCCATGAGCACATTATCATGGTGGAAAAAAAAAATGGTTCTGAAGTCAAAATACCTGGGTTCAAATCTTGCCTTTGTCATTGTTTACTACCTTTGTGACTCTGAGCACTTAAGTCACTAACCCTTCTGGATCTGGGTTTCTTTGTCAGCAAAACAAAGGGGTTGGATTTTATATGACCTCTCAGGTCCCTTCCAAATCTAGAGATATATGATCCTCTGATTAGCTCATTCCTTTTATATAGGTCCCAGAGATTATGGCAAAATCCGTCAGCCAATTAGAACAGATTTCCTGTCCATCATCTTTTCACCTCATCCAAACACTTTCAAAGACTTTTAAGGGGCAGCTAGATTGTGCAGTGGATAGAGCACCAGCCCCGGAGTCAGGAGGACCTGAGTTTAAATCCAGACTCAGACACATAACACCCACTAGATATGTGACTCTGGGCAAGGCATTTAACCCCAATTGCCTTACCAAAAAAAAAAAAAAAGACTTTTCACTTTTCATACTTAGTTTAAAGCCTATGATTGAGATTGAGTGATTAATCATTTTATTACTTCCTTTAAGTGGGTTGGGGGGGACCTGATTGATTTATTCCACCACCTCCTCCTTACAAGGAGAATGAGGAAAGGGAGAAAACTGATTGGCATTAGTCTACCTTTTGAAGGTTTGCAAAGTACTTCACCTGCACTATTTCATTTAAGCCTCACACCAAGCACTGCAGGATGGATCATATTATTCCCTATTTTATAGAGAAGAAAGTTGAGGTCATAAAAGTGAGCTTCTTTTCCCAAGAGCACAGACTTAGTAAGTATCAGAGGCTGGATGCAAACTCAGGTCTTCCCATCTCCAAATCCATCACTCTTTCTGCCATTTTCTGGCACTGCCAGATACAGGCACTCATTGCTTTACACCTGCACTGTTGAAATAACCGTTGTTGAAAGAAAGAAAGAAAGAAAGAAAGAAAGAAAGAAAGAAAGAAAGAAAGAAAGAAAGAAAGAAAGAAAGAAAGAAAGAAAGAAAAATATCACATAAAGGGGCAGCTAGGTGGCACAGTGGATAAAGCCCCCACCTTGGAGTCAGGAAGACCTGAGTTCAAATTTGGCCTCAGACACTTGACACTTACTAGCTGTGTGACCCTGTGCAAGTCACTTAACTCCATAGCCTAGCAAAAAACAAAAGAAAGAAAAAAGAAAAAGAAAAAAACAGAAACAAAATACCTATGGTTTGCTCTCCCTACCTCAAGTCTTTCCCCATTCCAGACCATCCTCGACTCAGCTGACAAAATTATTTTTCTAAAACTCAGGTCTGACCATAGCAGCAGGACTACCACCATCCCAATTCAATAAACTCCAGTGGCTTCCTATCACCTCTAGGACCAAATCTCTAGAATATCATTAGGACCTTGCCACTGAGGGGTGGTGTGTGGTAGGACAGCAGGTTCCTGACGTAGTGACTCTTTCCTTGATACTACTCCTTCCCTACACAAAACTCCCACACAACTTCCTCATTCAAAGTTCTTCATAATATATCCACCCCCACCTTTCCAGTTTTCTTACGTCTAACACTCCACCACATTCTCTGTGACCCAGTGACACCAATCACCTTACTGTTTCTCAAACAAAACACCCCATTTCCTGACTCCATGTATATTCACTAGCTGTCACGCACACATGTAATGTTCTCATTCTCCATCTCCACTCCTGGCTTCCTTCAAGTCTCAGTTAAAATCCCAGCTTCTATGGTAAGTCATTCCCAATCTCCTTTAATTCTAGTTCCTTCCCTTTGTTAATTATCTCCAATTTATTCCATCTATAGCTTATTCATACATAGTTGTTCCAATGTCTTCACCCCCATTAGACTGTGAGCCCCTTGAGAATAGGGACTTTTGCTTTTCTTAGTATCCATAGCACTTAGCATAGTACCGGGCACATAGTAGGTGCTTAGTAAATGTTTATTGATTGACTATACAATGCTGTGAAAGCTAAAGTTGCTACTGATCAAACTGCACAATGAAAAGAAGATTAAGGCTTAAGTCCATGTAAGTGTATGTGTGTGTGTGTGTGTGTGTGTGTGTGTGTGTGTGTGTGTGTGTAAAGAATATTGGCTTAGGAGTCAGAGGACCTGGGTTAAAATTCCAGCTCTGATTTATACTCCCAGTATGCCCATTGGCAAGTCACTGAAACCCCTAAAATGAGGGGATTAGATGAAATGACGTCTAATACCCCTTCCCGATCTAGATCTAAGATGTTAAGACACTGTTTTAGAGAGATTGTATGGGGGGAGAACCCTAAACCTAGTGCCAGGGATGGAATCCCAGCTCTGCACAATGAGCTGCATGGGTCTCAAACAAACCTTCAGCTCTTCTGAGCTTCGTAATTCTCACAGTACTTCTTTCCCACTTTTTAAAGCTACAAATCATGACATAAATGCAAGGTATTACCAGCATTCTTTTAGCCAAGCTAAAATAAGCAAGTACCAGAGCTCTCAACCTGAGACACTAAGGAACTGAGCTGGCACAGCACCCTCATATCAGAATTCTCCCGTCTACCCTTCTGTGGGCCTTCTGAATCTCTAGGCAGGTCTGAAACAATCAGCTTCTCCCCCTGTCTGCCAGTTTCAAGGTCCAAGAATGAGACAATCCAGGAAGCAATATTTAATCCCAGCCTGCCAGTTCTATTTCTGGGTGAGAAGCAATTGAATACATCTCTGTAGCATCCTTGCTCTCCTATAAGAGTTCCTGAGTGCCATAGTTGGGGAGGGGGAGGATGGGACATGGCTATTAAGGGCACAGGTACTGGCAGAAGACTCAGCTGTGTGTGCCTTGTTGCTTACACATTGTTGTTTGTGTATTCATTGTACCTATGCTGTAGGTGTGGCTCTAAAATCAGAACCCTCTTAATTCAGGTTCCATGTTGGGACAACATGAGGCACTCTGAAAGTCACTAAACATTGAACAAAGAAAGAGGCTTACTTTACCCTAACACAACAAGGTTACAGTAGCACTCCCCCATCTTCTAGAAACTTGTCTAGTCAGTCTTCAGAGTCCTCTTTGAGAATGAAGGGACAATAACGATAACAACAACAACGAGGTCATAGCAACTCATGTGGTCTTGGACTATCACCAAGTTTGAGAGGCATGGAACCCATATGACTTGGGCTTTTTTGGTGGGGGAGGGGATAGATCATGGTAAGTCTTAACCCATCCTGTTGTGGTTTTTTTTAGTTTAGTTTTTATTTTCATTTCCAAATTCTCTCCCTGAAACCCCTCCCTCACCCATTGAGAAGAAATTCAAAACCCATTATACATATGAAGTTATGACAAACATATTTCCACATTAGTCATGTTGTTGGGGGGGGCAATAAAAATAAAGTGGAAAAATATGATTCAATCTTCTGTCAGAGTTCATCAGTTCTCTCTCTGAGGATGGATAGTATTTTTCATCATGAATCTTTTGGATAGTCATGGATCATTGTATTGATCAGAGTTGACTTGAGCTTTTTGTTGGCTCTAGTCCAGAAAACTATGTCAGAGAATCTGGGGAAAAATCAGGTTTCCTAGAGAAAATAAGCTTCACCCAGAACATCACTAAGGAAGCTGGAGCTAAGGAAGTTGTGTAGGAGTTGTGTGTAGGGAAGGAGTAGTATCGGGGTAAGAGAAGCTGTGTGAGGAACCTGCTGTCCTACCACATACCACCCCTCAGTGGCAAGATCCTAATGATATTCTAGAGGATCTTCCACCATTTAAGTAGTTAGAAAGTCCTTCTGTCATGGATAGTACTAAAGGAGGAAAGGGGGTTGGAGGAACAGAAATAAAAAACATGGAAGAACACGAAAGCCAGAATTTCTAAGCTTTTTCTTCCTCCTTCAAAAAGACTAAGTCTTATAATCTGGTCCATGTGATGGGTTCTATCACATCTTTGGAATTCACAGTGGGTCTCCTAATGAATGTGGCAGCCACAGCACAGATGATAGCACTCCAGTATGGTCACAGGTAACTTCTCTTGATATGAGACAGTGATGATGAGCAGGAGCAGCTCTACCCAACATCAGGGCCTCTGCAGGTATACTTCTGACAAAGTAAATAATTCTTCATCTTGCATCAGGGTCGTCCGTAGAAAAGTGGCTGAGAGGTCATAAGTCTCTTGCGTAAAAACTATCTTGGGATCTAAATTGATACCGAGGTTCTTCTTGTACCACCATCAACTTGGTATTTCCTAGCCCACCTTCCAAAAACTCTCCCTCCCTGACAGCTTCATGAGCTGAATGACACGATGTTGTCTCTTCCACTAAACTGAGCACCTTGAAAGAAAAGACCCCAGTTTTCACCTTTCTTTGGATCCCCAGAACTTAGCACAATGCCTAGAACATGCTTAATAAGTGATTTCCGTTGATTCATTGATTGATAAAACGGAACAGAGAAAAGCAAAATCTGATGTCTTAAAACATCATGGAACAGAGTGCAGAATCCATTTTTGCCCTGAAGGAAAAACAAATTTCGAGAGAAAAGTTCATTTGTTTAATGTTTTCAGGCTATGTTGACTTATTCAAACAAAGCGACTTTCTACTCCTTGAATTTCAAAGTTGTAGAAGTGCTAAATAAAGGATTTTACAGCAGCCAAACCATAGCCACCTTGGAAATCTGAGAATGCTTTCTTGACTTGGTCTATAAATTCTATAAGGCTTTTAAACCTGGGCACACCCAACGAAAATTGGTCTAGTAAAAGTGGGAAAAGATTAAAAGGGGCGTGTGGGGGGAGGGGTGGAGGGATAGCTTTATTTTTTTTTAAGGATTATTTCTTAAGCCAAACAGCAAGGCAAAATTTTCAGTGGTTCTAAGATCAAAGTCTCAAGTCTGAACTCTGTGAAAGCCAGTTCATTTTCAGTCTATTCCGTGGTCAGAGATTGTGTGTGTCCAGTCTCCTGCTCCAAACAGTAGCTAGCCGCCTCCAGCTTCCCACTAATCTGTAATCACCTTTTGTTTGAGACACAAAATCCTGAGCCTGAGTGTTTCAGCACCTCCAGATTTTTCTACCTTGCTTCATTTGCTCGCTCTCTTCCCAGCCCCACCCCTTTCTTTCCTTCCTTTCCCAACCCGCCTTTGTGTACACCCCTCTCTGAAACTTCTCCATGACAGGGAGAGGTGGGGGGGGGGGCTTTTTTGTTCCTTTTGAGTTCCCTGAATTGCAAAGAATAAAAATTTCCAGGATGAGGTTTTGTCCTCAGAGTGGTTTTGACAGTTATAAAAGATGAGTGTGGGAAAGATTGGCCATAATTACCCTGTACAACTCTTTCAACAGCTGCCTTCATCATTCCTACCTGTTTCTGTGCCCCCATCCTAACTCTTGACTTCTTTGCTGTACTCCACCCCCCCGACACATTCAGTATATTCTTTGTGTCTTCAGGATGCTCTCTCTGTTTCACTGTCTCTATCTCTGTCTCTGCCTCTCTCTTCCTCTCTCTCTTTCCCTTTCTCTGTCTCTTTGTCTCACTCATCTTTCTCTCCTCTCTTTCCTCTCTCCTTCCCTTTTTCTCTCTCTTTCCTCACTCTATCTCTTTCTCTGTCTCTACCTCTCTCTCTCTCCCTTTCTCTCTCTCTCCTCTCTGTCTATCTCTCTTTCTTTCTCTGTCTTTGTCTCTTTGCATCACTGTCTCTGTTTCCCTCTGTCTCTGTCTCTCTCCCTTTCTCTCTCTCCTCTCTCTCTGTGTCTCATTATCTCCTCTTTCTGTCTCTCTCCCCCTCTCTCTTTCTCTCTCTCTTTTTCCTCTTTCTTCTCTCACTTTTTCCTTCTCCCTCTCTTTCCTCTCTCTATCTATCTCTCCTCTTTCTCACTTTTTCCTCCATCTTCCTCCCTTTTTCTCTCTCTCTTTCCTCTCTCTCGGTCTCTCTGTACCTCCTTCTCTGTCTCTCTCCCCCCCCTTTCCCTTTCTTTCTCTCTTCTCTGTCTGTATCTGTCTCTCTTTCTGTCTGTGTCTGTCTCTCTGTATCACTATCTCTTTCTCCCTCTCTCTTTCTCCCTGTCTCTCTTTCCCTTTCTGTCTCTCTCTTCTTTATCTGTCTCTCTTTCTCTGTCTTTCTCTCTCTCTCTCTCTCTCTCTCTCTCTCTCTCTCTCTCTCTCTCTCTGTCTGTCTCATTCCCTCCTCTTTCTGTCTCTCCCCCCTCCCTCTTTCCCTCTCTCTTTTTCTTCTCTCTCTTCTCTATCTCTCTTTCCTCTCTGTGTGTTCCCCTTTCCCAATCCCAAATATCCTATGAAAATTTGCTCATTAACCTAAATGAATTTCCAATTGGTTAGGTTGAGACATAATCAGGCAAGAGCCTTTCCTTAAATTATACCACTCAATTATCTCCTTTCTAAAGGACTGGTTGTTGGAGTAAGGAGAGTTATAAAGAGTTAATGAACTCTGGCTCTCCCACCTGCTGGGAAGATTATTAGTTGGTCATCCCAGTCATTTCTCATCAACTTCCTGTCTAAAGGCTGAGGACCAGGGTGCCTATTCAATCTTTGACCCTTAATGAAGGAAGTCACCTACCATACAGTGGATGCTCTACTCTAAACCAAGAAATATAAATATACCTATGAGAAAGTCTACAGCTGAGCAAGATTCTTCTCTGTGGAGGATTCACAGAAGAATATGAAAAAGAATAACACAGATGAGAAGTTATGCACAGGTTTGGATTGGGAATACCCACACTGATGAGACCATCCATCCCTTGTATGGCTTCTCATTTTTGTGCTCTTCTA